TTTTTTTTTTTTAATTTTTCTTTATTTGTACAATAAATCATATAAATAAAGAAATATATCTACTCCTTCTTTAAGCCTAAGCTTGTGATGGAGTAGAGAGTTAACAGATGTAATAATAATAGTAATTTAAAATACAACTTTAGAATAAAACAAGAATATTTGTATAGGTACATCCTTTCGCAAAAAAGAAAAACATTTCTCAATAAGTATATAAAATAAAATAAAATAWGAAATAAGAATAAAAATCATTMACATTAGACTAACAAATTAAAGTTTACAATACAATACCGAACACTCTGATATTTTAAAATTTAACATCTATTTTCAGTTCTTGATTAAAACGAGTTTTAAGACAATCCATTTATTTTTAATTTTGGTCGAAATAAGAAATACACGCGTATTCTATATGCTGGTGGTTAAATTTTTCAGGGGGGGATATAGCTGATATTTTAGCATGTTCTATTTAACTATTAAAAATATAAACTTAAGTTTTCAGATATTATATAAGTGCATTAAAAAGGGATCTATCCCATTTATCATTTATCCATCCTGATTGATCGCACCAATGTAATTATATATACTTATATTATGATATATAGAGACGGATTTTGATGCTATATATTACTTTTTTTTTGTTTTTGGTCCTGTGTAGAATATATCTTCGTAAGTGAAAAATGTATGGGATAATGAATTTTTTCATAAATTCAACTTTTTAAACTTTTTTGACCTTTTTTTATGTTTTAATATATATCTTCACTAATATAATAATTTTCAAAGCTATATATTTTTATGCAATATTAATATTATATTTTATTATCTTCTGAAAATAATTCAACATTGCACAACACGTTTTCATCATATCGATTTTTAAGCTGTAAGAAATGTACCGCATCAAATGTATTTTCAAAGTGCATATTATTAGATTTTTAAGGCATTTATGGATTTTTGTGATTATTTAGATTTAAAATCTCAGTATTAATTATAATAAATATTATATATCATATATATCGTGTGTCCGTTTTATAGCTTTTTTTTTTTTTAAAGGAACAGATCCATCTAAAGTCGTGGAGCCGCAAGGGGAGCAGCAAGTGACGTACAGCAGCGAGGAAGAAATATTGGAACACCGCGGTCTGGCCGTTGACTCGGAAGCGGAGATTGAAACGTCGACAGCGGTGGAGGAGGAGGAAGAGGAGATGCTGGTCGAAGAAGAAAAGCCAATAGTAGCGCTGGAAAAAGAACGCGTTTGCTTGGTAGAGGACGAGTATCACCATCATCTGCAGMACATTCACCACCATCAGCAGCTCTCGTCCCTTTCCGATCTAGTCAGCCGGCACTCGATCGACAGCTTGGACCAGGAATGTGGTCAGACGGCTGAAGACCCGGACGATGGTAACTATCCGGGTTCTTGTCTGAGCGCGGAAGACAGCGGCGTGCACACCGAGGATATGTCGAGCTGCGTTAGCCAAGCYGACGACGAGGAACGGTCCAACTTGCAGCCGAGTCCCGTGCTGCAGCAACAGACGCCGAACGTCGTCCAACAGCACGTCGACGACACGTACAACATGGTGAGACTGTAATATTATGAATTACATATTTATGCCTTGAGTGTCTGCAATCATATTATCCGTGACTGCAAAACCGCACTGTATCATTTTGGGATGGTGATGGTATTTCAAATTTTGATACCGTCGTCCGGCCAAGTGCTTAAGTCACGTAATTTCTAAAAATACCAATAATTACCATACCTTGGTAAATTTCAAAAACCAATAATAAATATGTTCGGTAAAATATATTTAGGTCGATTCAACCTAGCAAAATTGTACATCTATTTTAATAATTACGTTTTTAATAATCGTCATCGTTTAAAAAATGTCACTAAATGTTTTACAATTTCGTGGTAGGAATAATTACTAAAATTATCAAACAATATAATTACCATTGTGTAAAATGATAGAAATTCTAAAAAAAAAAAAATATTTTTTGACCTAAGTAATGCCGGGTCCACACATAGACGACACAGAAACAAAACAAAAACCAAACTCAAACCCTTCTTTTTGAAGTTTGAAAAAAATAAAACACAAACAAAACATGTGTCCATACTGAGTTGAGTAAATATAAAACAAAACATGAACAAAATTCAAACATTTGTTCGTGTTTTGTTTTTGTTTTCAACTATCCATACAGAAATATAAACTCGTCGTTTTATTTCGTTCATACGTGGTCATTCAGTCTGTCTTAAGAGTTTTAGCTTTCTAAACTCTTCGTACTTACAAGTTTTTTTTACATTTTTTTACTCTGAGTGAAAATGTGGAAATTGAAAAGAGATATTGAAAACGATGAAGATTTATTTATGTTGGGTGCTGGGTATATTTACCTACAGTTACAAAGTAAAAAAATAAATGATACGATTAAAAGATGTTTTAGTTATATAATGAATATATATATATTTATTAATAACCAAATTGGTACTGCCCGCGAAATCCCGATAAAAAATATTGCCTGTTGGTTGTTTTGAAAACATGTCCACACACGTTCGACAGTGTTCGCAAAAACAACAACAAAACCAAAACCTTTTGATGTTTACCGACACCGCTCGGAACACGACTTTGTTTTTCAAAACACGAACAATTTGTTGGAAAAAACAAAATTGTTTTAAAAATTTTTTGATTTTGTCGAAAAACAGAGYTTTTGTTTTGTTTTACTTTTGTCGTCTCTGTGTGGACCCGGCATAATAKGATATCAAATAAGCGATGGCGGATTTATATTATAAATCATGAAAGTTTTCCAAAATACCGATAACATTTGATATTGGTATTTTTTTTTCAACATCGAAAATATCACCAGTCTTTATTGCATACTGGTTAAGAATGTAGCACTACATATATAGTGCGTTATATTATGCAAAACTGTACTTTATTGCGTAAATCGTTACTAATTATAACTTATAAGCATAAAAAATAATATAAAGTGGCTGAGTGTATGCATGTCAGTTTTTAAAAAGTCGAGCTTTCTATAAAAATAACAAATATTTATATTTACAATAGAATTTTTGATAAATAATCCGACTTACAGAGAGTATAGTTAGAGTCCACAGCAATTTCCATATGACAAACAATATCTAAGAGTTAAATTTTTCCTGGCATCCTAGTACTGCAGATTAGATAAGGTTATAGGTTATACATTCAATGATCTTCACCCCCAAAAAGGCACAGATTTATACATTTTTAATAGATACAAATAATATATTAGTATACATATTTACATCAATCGACGGGAATGTTTTTATTATTTATTTAATTTTACTAACTAAAAATCGCGACATAAATAATTATATAGGTAGTCATTGCAGGACGAACATTAATTTTAAGTAATTACAAAAGGTTATTTACGTGGGTTGAACATAATGCRGATACAATTGATAAAAATAATTATTTTACAGTAATAAATAATGAACAATTTATTATATAGAGCGATTTTGAATTAAGAAGGAATTTCAGAGTTGATCTAATGTTGAGTTGGTCTGGATTTAAGATTTCGGGAAAGTGGTATGACAGGAGCGATTACAGACATTTCCTTACTATTCGGCATTGACCCATGTGACATACAGAGTATATCTAAATGAATAAAATACACCTAATTTGTACCTACCAATGAATATTTTTATTTTACCGTTCAACTGTTATAATTTTGAATGTTTTTTACCTTTTTGGTATATATATATATAATATTTTTGATGGAAGGTGTGGACTGTGTTTTTATAATGAGGAAGGCGCGAATTGTTGGAGGTCGGAAACCGCTGGATTAACATTTTAATATACATATATATGCATAGGAATAGTACATTATACCCAATGACGTAGGTACGTGTTTTGTAACTGTAACAATAAAAACCACCACCAGAGTTTATTACATATATTATATACCAATATACCACATCGCGTGGTTTTAACGGATCGCTTACGAGATTTGATCGCAAACCGGTAATGTCTCCCCCCTCCCCCCCAACGATTTTATGCTAACCGCAAATTCGCAAGATTTAGCTTGTCATATAATTGTATAGATCGGCAGGAAATATATTTCTTTATGATTGTATATTATTATCGATTTATTATTTTACATTCTTACAACTACAAATGAATTACTGACCGTTTCTTTGTTTGGTGTTTTTGAGTTCATAAAATCAAACTTTTAACTTATAATATGTTTGTGTTCTTCAGGTACTCGAATTGACGCCCATCAACGCATTGGAACCACCCAAAGAGAAACCGCCTCCGCCACCCGTAGACGCGTATCCAGACGACGATGGCCAGGTGCAATTGCCGCTAGAACCCGTAAGTATTAATTATTAATTATCAACTATATAATTTATATACACCTATATGTATATGGCATTGAATTCCGTGCATTAATGTTGCGTGTTGATACACATCAGGCCGTAGACAGCTTGGAGTCAGCCAAACGCATTAAGAAAGAAATGTGGATGAAACGTTCCAGTTTCCTTGGCCTGGAAGAATACACGAACGGCAACGCCAGCTACGAGCACGGTAAATCCGATAAAATTACTTTATTAAATACTGTGAGCGATCTCATGAGCGCTTTGTAGCTTATGCTTTTGGTGTTTATTATGTGTTATAGATTTGGAAAACTTGAAGTCGAAACCGCCCGATTTAACGTCGTTTTTGGAGGAGGAACGTCGACTGGAAAAATTGTTGTACAACCAGAACAAACCCGAAAGGCAACCACACGACACAACCAGGGTTAGTGTGCGGTTCATGTCAATAAAAAAAATATACAACCATACAACTAGGATGCCTCAGGGTTTACCTATACCGGACATTGTCATAGAATAGAACAAAAAAAAATCTCAGAGTCCATTTTTGCTGTTAAAATAGTAATCTAAGAAGTTAAGAACTCAGCGATTGAGAATCTAATTTAAATCTACCGTAGATGCTCTTAAAAACCTCACGTTTACAAAATGCTAAATTTCAGATTTTTGCTCACTCTACACTAGCATGACGTACCTATTGTTTCACGAACTTTGTAAACGGAAACGTGAAAAGTTCAGGAAACACCATTACCCTTTATAGTGTCGTGCATGTTACTTCTTAATTATTAATCACTTTTATCTCGATACTCGTGTTCGTAATATATAGTATATACCTATTATGAGTATAATATGATCTAATGATCTTTCGTCTGAAAATCGCGTCTTTGCAGATTTACGAGAACGTTAACAGCATTCCGTCGCAGAACGTKTACGTAGACGACGGTGGCGACAGCGAGAGCAGTCAGTATATGAGGGACATATTGCAAGTGGAAGAGCAGAGTCGATGTAATCAGTTGAAGAACAAAGCTGCTCAAAACAACATAGGTAAACGATGTTTAAAACTCAGATCTATGTTAGATTAAAATCCATCAGAAATCTGGTGTTGGGAAACAATATCCTGCAATATCCAATCGTTAGAAAAAATTGGGGTTAAACGGATAGGAAAATGTATATGTTTAAAATAAAATATTGATAATGACAGCTTAGTAAAAGATCAGCATTTTAATATTAACATTATTTTTCATAAACTATAAAAATAATGAAAAATGAATCTAAACGTACTTTTAAAATATTCCATTTTCTAATTATTTTCCAAGTGCCAATAAAAAATTATAAGTAATAATATAGGTATGTACATTGTACAGGAAATAGTAATTTTTTAAGGTACTATAGGTTTTAATGTAATTTTTCCCTAAAAATACACTTTACGTGAATAATGTTTCTCTCCTTTATTATTTAGATGGCAAATATTCTACATTTTAATTATTTACTTAATGTTTAAAAAAAAAAAAAAAACGATTGTATTGTTTTTTTATAAATTATTTTACACCATTATTAGAAATAAAATAAAAAACTGCAGCTCAATTTGGTAGAAATTCTTCTATTCGGGCAAAAAATAGTTATCAAAATTTGATATTTCATTGATGTCCGAGAGACGAGAGTATTTCCTGTAAAGTAATTTTTGTTTATATAAAACACTAGGTGATGACAATAGATTAGTGGCAGAGTATGATAATCAAGATGTGGCCTAAAAAAGAAATATAATCGAAAACGTCCCCTTAAAGGCTTAAAATAATAACATAATATATTATACACTTTTGACAATCATACTCGAATAATGCGTACCTAATTAGGTAGGTATTATTATTATTTTTAAACCGGTCATTTCCCATAATTAATTTTTAATTGTATTTTTGTGCTATCCGTTAGKGTTTCAACCCTGGTTTTTTWCTGGTTGGATATCTTACATTTAATACCTACTGAACATTTGTATTTAGATTCAGGGAACCTATAATATTATAACCAATGCATTACGCGAACCATAATATTATAAACACTGAAATATTAAGAAGAGGATTATTATATTCGACGTGACTTAACACATTTATTGTTTGATTTCGGTAGGCGAAAAATTAGTGAAAAAGTTAAAAGAACTCGAAGAGGATCTAAACAATCAAGAGTGCGCTCGGGTCGGATCGGCACACTGGTTGCCGCCGCCCACTCGTCACTCTATGCAAGACATCTCGTCAACTGCGTCCGTCACGAATGCCAGACCGCAGCCACCTGCAGCACTAGACCACACTCAGTCCATGCCAAACTTGGAGGTGATTACCATTTGATAATATCTTTTTTCGCTTTGAACTTTTTCCACCCGTTATAATAAATTTCACGAATCACTTTGATTTATCTTAAAATAGAAATTTTGTAACGGCTATTGAGTTAATACCAGTTAATGCTCCAATGGCCCAATTCATATGTATACCAGTATACCCTCCATTAGACTTACATCTAAAACAACCTTATGACTTACACAATATTAAAATTTTTCAGTTTTATTAATTATCAATAGGCTTTTGTGGATAACCAAGTATTTTTTAGTTATTTTATTCGGAAATCAGATAGCTAAAAACTAACAGGTCATTAATCTAATACAGCAATTATGACTAATATAGTAACGATGGTATAATTAGATATAATTAGCAATGAGCTACAGGCTCAATACTTATCAAATAATAACTCAACTGCACGTTTTTACAATCGACATTTAGGTAGTAGGTACGTATCCTTAAGTGTCGTCGAAAAAAWAACATTTTTAGTTGAATTCTCTTACCAAGGTCAACCCACCCAGATGAGTCATCAAATCAYAAAACGCGCTAAAATATTAAAATCTCTTACAATAAAAAATTCAATATTATTTATATAATACGCTTAACTGGATATATTAAATATATGCGCTTAGTGCGGAGGCCCCAAGATAATGTTTACTAGTTTCCACCTACGACAATTATTATACTTAATTTATAATAGCGTGAAAAGATTTGTTTTTTTTTTTCAAAGATTTATAAATTGGGACTTATTCTTGAGTCAATAGTTTTTATCGTTAATCTTTCGTCTTACCATGGAAAAATAAAAATCATTTAATCGAAGGTAGGTATTCAACAAAGGCAACAGCAAAGACAATAACAAC